ATTCGCTATTATTCGCAAGGACATTTAACGCAATCGTCCCTTAAATTGCATAACAAGAACGTTATCAATTAACTGAAATCCAATATCACAAACAATAAACGCTAGTCTCCACGATCAATCGTTTACACGTTGGACGTCCACAAATGTATATAATCGTATGGTAATCGTAACATGGTAACCATACTGTTGCAACTGGTTACCATTTCTATATTTCTTTCAACAATTTTTTTTACTTCCTAGTGGAGACGAAAAAACCACTGTAGATTCTTTGGATATATTCACGTCGAAATTTATACTGTGACGATAACTTAATATTTTAATATTTTAATTAACTAAAGCTTCAAAGCGAAGATTTCAGGACATTTTATGTTTTCAAATATTCAGGTGAGAAAATATCAAATAATTGAATTTCGTACATGTTTTGTATATTAACTAACTTCATTATGAACGTATTTCATGATTCTGTTGAAACAAGTTATTGATGAAAACAATTAAAGAAAACAGCGGTGGTGTACACAGCAGCCAATATATATCAAGTCTACTTCTTTCCGTTTTTGTTATCGAAACGATATTTTTGTACGTGCAAAGTAGATTTTCTTAACTCGACAGCACACACCAAGATGATTAGTTTAATAATTACATTATAATGTCTTTTCTTCGTTTCCCTTACACGTTTTATGCGTATTATATATTTTCATTTTAACAAAGTAGCACGAAACGTACAGATATTCATACATTTATATATTGTGATCATATACCGAGGTCCGCGAGTATACTTTCACTTAACGGAAGGTTAAATAATTGAATAATCTTAAAACAGCGGCGAAAGATAGCAAATCGAAGAATACATCATTCCATCCGTTTCTAGCGAAATAATATTTCACCGATTCTCGCCGCCGATTCTTGGCAAGCTTTTCCTTTTACGTCGTCGCTTGCCTCGCGGCTCGCATGATGCGGATCAACGCAATTGCTCGCATATTATAATTTATAACTGTGCCTCTGTGCAAGGACTATTTGGATGTGAACAATCGGCACGCCGACAATACGAGACCTTAAATCATAATTTGGTTAATGTGGAATGTAATGTCGATGTTGGCGGAAGCGTCTCTACATCCCGATACGTATAGGCGGCATCGGGGGGGAAACGGGGTGCAGACAATGCGCGGGGGCGAGAACGAGATGACCAGGCTCGTTCGTTCGTTTGTTCGTTCGTTGGACGATAGTTTGGCCGACGAACGGGGGCCCGACTAGCTGGCACGTTCGCTCGCGCGACCACGTGCGCGCGATTCTCTGTACTCTATGCGAGGGATTATAAATCGCTGACCAATGAGTGGATTCCATTTGTTATCACGATCGTTGGTACGCCAGTTAGACGCTGTTCGTTGCTTTATGCCTGAAATATTGCGGCCGGAACGTCGGCGGAGTTTAACCTCGTCTTTTGTCGATCGGCGAGAAACGAGAAGTCGAACGAAGCGCCTACATCGCGTCTCTGAACGATTATTGCGATCTCGCTCGTCAATTTTCGGCCGACGTATTGGGGTATCTTTCGTATGCACGTGGTATTTATTTTTAAGACATTATAGAATGTTTTATTTCATTTCGTAGATTATTTGATGTTGGTGTAACATGGTATTTGAAAGATTGCTTAAAATATTTGATTAAAAACATTTGCTCCTAGATTATTGTGTTCGCGTCAAAAATATTTATTGCTGGGTTATTACTTAACCTCGGAAGATATTAAAAATAAATCAATTTCGGTCGTTGCAAATGTAAGTACGATATAATTTATTCTTAACGGAATTGGAAACACACAATTAAAAAATGAAGAAATTACGACAAATT